GTTCAGCAGATTGCAGTCAGGAGGAAAAAAGAATGGTTTCTGAAGAGGTTTGCTGAGTTACCCTGGAGTGAACAGAAGAGCCTTCAGTAGCACTGCTGATAGATTTGATGTGCTGACTTCAAAAAACAAGCAACAACAACAAAAAAACCCAACCCACCCCAAAAAACCAACGCCTCCCCAAAAAACCCGCACAAAAACCCCACCCCAAACCAAAAACCAACCCATTAACTTTCAGCTCTTTACAAACATATACTGCTTCCTCTTAAAAGCTGAATTCAGCCATGTGCTTGAGCATTTCTGAAGGCTAACACCAAGTAGTGCCAGTGTAGTGGTTATGCAACAGTAATGTGATCTTCAAATATGCTTCAAACTATTATTTTTGCGTGATTATTTTATTAGATTGTTGCATTCTTGCAAGGACAAACAAACTTCAGCCTGCAGCAAAAACGTACAAATGATATTAGCTCACAAGAAAACTAGAAATTGTGTGGCTTATAAATAAAATCAGCAATAATTGCACTTTAATGACTCACAATATTTATACTTAACGGTGATACTTGCTTTTGTTCTTTTCATCCATACTAATGTGATCATCTTTAAAGTACAGAGGTTTAGGCAAATATTTAAAAGAAATTTTTTTTTCAATTTAATGGCATTGGATACTAAAGATCACCACCAAAACATCACCCTTGCAGTTCTGTTTTAGTGTTTCTCAACTCATCCAATTGATTACCAGCTTAAATATGTCTTTATGTAAAGGACATTAAAGGACTATTGGTGCAGATGACCAAAAAAGGTGAGCTCTGAAGTGAGGGACCAGGGTTTTCTGCAGAATCTAGCCAGCCTCTTCTCTCCATTTACTGTGTCCTTGCTTTTATTTCACGGTTTCCAGTCACCTGCAGGCTCTGTGGCTGAAATCCCAACTGCACATGTGAGGGAGAGAACCCACAGTTGCCTATCGGTTCTGCAGAAAAGTTGATGAGGGGTTTTCTGAATCACAAACTGAATGGCTTAGCGGCAGCTTATATAAAATAAATGTTACTATCCTTGTCGTTTATCAACCCTTGTAAAGGGAGCTATCAGATATAGATATAGAGATAGTAATGTTCATGTTTTGCTTCCATTGTTGAATATTGTTTTGCTATTCATTGCTTTGGGTCTTAAAGGTGCACTCGCAGAGCAGTGGCAACAGTACAAGCTCGACACCGTCTCGGAAACCTCAGTCGGCTGCGCCCAAAGTCCGCAAGAGCGTGAGCAGCCGGATACACGAGGCGGTGAAGGCCATCGCCCTGTGCCACAACGTCACTCCCGTGTACGAGTCCCGGGCTGGTGTGTCTGGAGAAACAGAATATGCAGAGGTGGATCAGGACTTCAGCGATGAAAATCGAACTTACCAGGCTTCCAGCCCCGATGAGGTTAGTATGTGAGGGTGAAAAAAAGTGTATCTCATGAAGAACGGGATAAGCTAAAAGGAGCAGAACTGTGAAGGAAGGGTATCTTGAACTGGGATTTCTTTAAAATCAGCAGTAATCTTGTTTTATTTCCTCTACAGCTGGTGGAAAGATCTGATGTCTCTTTCTTACCTAAGTGTTTTCAGTTATTTGACTAAAAGTTCTGTGAAGTCACTGCTTTGGGATCAACACTGCGTTGAGTATTTCAATGGAAGTTATTAGATGTATTCTCAAAACGTGAATCCATGTATGAATTAGCATATACACACAAAAGGGAATATGAAACTGTTTTGAGTGGTGGTCAGCCAGGTCCATTAGCCAGAGACACTATCAGTTAGTGGGATGTATAGCTTCTTAACAGGAAAAAAAAACAAACTCAAACCCTCAGCAGCTTCATAATCTTCACGTTTCAGTCAAAATTGCATCAAGTGTGGCACAGATACAAAACCATATTTCAATGAAAACATGCATTTACTTCCATTTAAATCCAAATTTTAAACAAATCTCACTGCTTTCAGTCAATCTTGGAGTTACTGTTCTGAATAATTCTGGTTTGGGGCCTAAATGGCTTGCCTAAAATTCCATCAGAAAGATACTGGAAGAAAAAGGCAAAGCCCAGGTTTCAAGATACTGCAAAGTAAGTGTAAAGAATAAACAGAGCCCATTCACTTTATAAAAACGTGTGTGTATCTGATAGACTAAAATGGAGAAAGTGGAGTATTTCAAGGCTGGTTTACCTCTGGAAGTGAGTAGGTTGAGGGACATCTTTGTTTTCAAGAAATTCAAGCCATATCTGAAGTTTGGATGTACTTACGTTGGTGGTGTAGCCCCGGTGGCTTTGTCATGATCAAAACAAGGTGGTTGCAAGATGTGGAGATGAGATTGCTTGTCTGAAAGCCTGTCTATTTTTCTGGCTGTACAAGATCATCTAACAAAAGATAATACTTCTTCCACAACCTTCATCTTGCCACAGCGTAACCTGTGGTTCTTGCTATACGTGTGGTTTACTTGGCTAATATATCCCCACCTCTAATATGAATAAAACTTCAGGAATTCGAGCTGCAAGCTGTAATTGCCAAAAGTAGCAAGTCTGTAAGAAGCATTTTTAGGAATGTCAGAAATAAAATTCAATCTGTCTTCACGGAGTGCCGAACAAGCAGGCATGGCGTGTGTTTCAGATGCTGTAGACACAGCTCACAGCGTCAGAGGATTGTAGAATCTAAAGAAGTGGCTGGTTCCTTTTTGTTTCTCAAAGATAGTGCTTGAAACCCTAGTAAAATTATCATATTGAACAAATATGCCTTAGTATAATGAGAAATTGATGCTAAATGGAGTCTTATAAAAAAATGAAGCTACAAAAAACATTTAAACAGCATAAAAATTGCTGGATGACAGCAAAAAGCCTAAGAGTTGAAAGACTAGCAGGTCTTTATCATAATTTTTTAAAGAGGTCTATTGATGCAATGTTTGCAAATCACTGGAGCCTAAGGAAAATAATGTAAATGGTTCATTATTTAGCTTATTGAACTTTCCTGCAGTTAGGTTGACGGATGATGCCAATGTTTCCCAATCACCGAAGTACCATTTTAAAAGCATTTTTTATTGAATAAAGTGCTTTGAATATTGCACCCTGGAGCTTTATTTAGGGAAATGGTTCAATTGATGTTTTCTGTTTAACCTCAGCACTGACCTATCACAACATATTTGGTTAATAAGCAGCATTATCATTTAATAGACTTAACCAGTTTTATGCATTGTACTTTCTCAACATTACAATTCCGTTCTCTTAGATTTTGTTTATGGATCTGGCTTGATTGCAGTCTTTTAAAAGAAGATGTTATTTGCGCAGTTGTCTGTTGCGTTGTACAATATTGCGTGATATCACTGTAGCATGTAAAGAGCAGAGAACAACATGTAAGTATAAACTATTCTGCCATGCAAGGAAGGATAAGAAGCAGTTTAGCAGTACGTTGGCACGCTCTGCACTTTAATGAATCGACTCGAGGAATTCATTTGAAATTCTTCACATCTGTGTGCGTACGTGTGCATCCATATACAGATCAAGCAGAGCCATAAGAAAGTATGCACATTCAGAAGTGGGTGCATTCATCAGAAAATATGTATTTATCTGTTGCTGGACTAACCCGAGATAAGTCGCTGATTTGGTATTCATAATGTGAACCCTGCTTATTCCAGGCTCTTTGTTTCTTATGATAAGTGATCAATATTTCATTTTCTCTGAAAGAGTGGAAAGTTTCATTTGTCTGTCACTTGTCCTCTACAGCTGTAGCATAGCAAACAATGGGCATTCACTGGGAACGCGCTGAAAAAAAGGAGTGCGGCTCTGCTTGGCCATCGGAGGTTTGGGCTCAGTTCCTCTGCAGCAAGCCAGCTACCTTAATGTAATGAACAATCATAAAAGGATATAAGCTAAGTAGGTGAAGCGATGGAGTTCAGAGGGCGCAGACCCAAGCAGTGCAGGGCCATGCTATGAACAGGAGCCTTCGAGGACCTTTGCTCCCCTTGGTCAGACAAGATTGATCAGGCAGGATTTTTAATGACTGCTTACTCTCATAAACCAGCTAGTTATTGCTTATGCTTTGTCCTGTGCTGCTATAATCTTGAGCATTTCTAATTCCTGGATTTTGAATATTTAAATACCCCCTTAAAACGTGGTCAGTTATTTAATTCCGACGTTTCTGTCCAGACACAACAGAGTTGCTGAAATTAATTACAAGGGTACAAAGCCAATAATTTAAAAAGAGACAGGGAAATGATATGCCCTTAGTGAAGCAGCTTTTGTGTTTACAAAAGTGAAGCTGTAATGTATGAGACGTGTTGTATTGTTTAATTCATTTTATTGTGTGCGCTTATTGAAGCAAGACTAATTGTGTTGTTTTGTCAATGTATTGTGAAAAGCAAATCAGTCAGTAGCATAAAACCATCGCTTTCATGACCTTCGAGACCCACAAAGAATAACTACTCCATAGCTTGTCTTGAATATTGATCGGCAGCTTTGTCACATGATCAAGCCGTAGTTTTAAGTTAATAATTTTATTTTAATTATGAAGTTGCTTGATGAAAAGCGATGGACTGCAAGCCTTAGTTATCAAATCGTTTATAGATATAAACAAGCCAGTGCTGCTTGGAAACATCTGCAAGTTGTTGAGCAATCCAAACAGAAACGGTTGGGGACACTCAGGCAGTGGGAAAAAGCAATCTCACTGCTTCAACCTTAACTTCAAAAAGCCTCTACTCTGAGATGTCATGCCTAGAACCTCTGTATTCTTTACGTGGCAACCTGATTTTGAAAGGAGATTCTGTTAGCCCAAGTGAAGATGCTCTTAATTAAATACTCTGAAATAAATGAAAGTTGGCTACGGGAGAAGTCTTCTGGGCAGCAAAACGAGTTTAGAAGGTTTCCATCCCTAGTCCTTCTTTCTCACTCTACAGATTGTTCTCTCATATATGCCAAAACAGTGGAAGCCTTGGTTTATACGAGTTGTTTTTAAGTGGTCATAGCACAGCTCCGAAGAGCTGTCAGCGCAACTGTGAGGGAACTCCCCGACTGGATGGGGTGGAAGAGAACTGCCACCGCCCGCCACAAGGCAGCGCATCTTTTTCTCAAACCTGGAACATTTTCTGAGCTTCTGCCCAATGGTAGCAGGTAGGATTGTTCTAGTAACTGAAGGTCTTCAGCACCTCACTTTGTGGATTTGTATCACTGTGTGCCCAAAGGCAAGGCAAGTTTTTGTTTCTTCAAGTGACCATACCAGGTCTTCTTTAACTGGGAACTCTTCACACCGTCATGCTCTCAAGATGACACGTAACTAGGCTTAGTTACATTTTCTGCAGAGCAATTCCCCAAACTGAAAAGGAGTAAGACAGCTGGGTGAGAAGTGGTATCTCCTTGATCCGGAGGAAGTTATGGAAGATGTTAATCAGAGAGGAATCAAGAGTGCCTTTCTGTGAGTACATCATTCACCCTCATGGGGAAAGGTCCGGAGAATTCAGGGATGGGCTTTGAGTGAGGAGCGATGCTCTATGTGCTGTTTGAACGGCCCAAAGCCACTCAGCGTTTTTCAGAGGGAAGCAAACTCCTGTTATTTGATGGGGAAGGGAGGTAGTTAACTCTTCCATCCTCAAGAGTTAAAAATAGATAAAGGTGTGGCTGTTCCTTTAAATGCTTTCTATGGACAGTCGGTTTCATCTTAGATGTCGGCCTTAAATATTGGCACCATAGCTGAAAAAAATCATTTAGAATGCAGTTGCTTTACGTAACAAGATTTTTGTGGCCTGTCAGCTTACACAGAATCATAGAATGGCCTAGGTTGGAAGGGACCTTGGAGATCATGTAATCCAACCTCCCTGTCATGGGCAGGGACGCCACCTCTCGACTAGATCAGGCAACACATGGGGACCAAATGGGAACCGAGCGGGAATCCAACCCGCGACCTCGGTGTTGTCATTGTTGTCAGCACCGCGCTCAACCCACTGAGCTAACCGGCGCCCTACGTATTTCCTAAAGGTTTTTTAAATTGTTGATCTGTATTTATGTTAGGTTAAAATCGGTCTAATGTTCTAATTAAATAAGCAGTTTCCAATCCACAACACAAATAATGGATTTGGGGTTTGTTCTGCTTGATGCGGGGTTTATGAACTCCCTGTAGGCTTAGGTTTTGTAGCTGATAAAATAGGTAATTGCATCCTTGTCGCTTAACAGCCCCGTGTGCTTCTGGAACTTTCTAGAAACTTCTTAACGTTTTTTTTATTTTGATTTAGTTCTGTAAATGAACACTTATAAACAAATGGGGTGACTGTGTCCCCAAAGCATGGGATTAGTATGCAGGGCTGCCCTGGGCTTCCCAGGTGTTCCTTCTTCACAGCCCTCTCAAGATGTTCTTCAGGCTGCTGAGCTGGTCACAGCGTCCCGCTCGGAGAAACTCTTTCCACCTCCTGAGCTGGGACTGCTGTAGGTTACGTTGTGGGTCATGCAGTTACTGCTCAGGTTGAAGGAGTTTCCTTAAGAAGCCTCTAAATTTGGCTTTGAGTGGGAATCTGGACTGTGGTAACAAGAGTTTGGGGCTGTGAACGGTGGAAGCTCTGAGGATTGGGTGGCCTCTAGTGGAGAGACGCTGCTGATGGGGGCACCAGAGCTCGGGTGGTAAATGGAAACATCTGAATGATTTGGGGTAAGAAGCACTAAAGAAGAGGTGTTTCTCCATAGCTTTTGTCAGATCTGTTCCATTTCTGTTTTGTAATGCAAGTATTTGCCACCTTCATTCCTGATTTGGAAGTTGCTCCCAACCTTATCACGGGAGAGGTCGATACCTATCTTCGCACTTCATATTGATGAGGAAAACAGCCAGCAAGTTGGAAACTGTGGAAGCTCTCTCGGACTCCACATACGAAGTCACCTGTACCAGGAACACCAGGGAGTCAGTGGGTTCAGGTGCAGGGAAAACCCCACGCCTGCCCAGGTACTTCTGCCTCCTAGGCAACTGGTGTCCAGGGAAGGGAAGCTTGGTGAGAAGACAGACAAGAGCCACAAAATAGTCAAATAAGTCCCTTAGCTGGATTCAGGAAAGTTGACGCATTTCATCTGTGCATGTTAGGAAATTAATGGTTAATATTATAATTAGAGTGGATTGTTTTAAAACAGAATGGTAGTATCACAAGCAAAGGCTTTTCACAGAATCACAGAATGTTGGGGGTTGGAAGGGACCTCTAGAGATCGTCTAGTCCAACCCCTCTGCCAGAACAGGATCACCTACAGCAGGTCACACAGGAACGTGTCCAGGCGGGTTTGAAAGTCTCCAGAGCAGGAGCCTCCACACCCTCTCTGGGCAGCCTGGGCCAGGGCTCCGGCACCCGCACAGCCAACAAGTTTTTCTACTGCTTTTGTGGAACCTCCTGTGCTCCAGCTTGTACCCATTGCCCGTTGTCCTGTCATTGGACATCACTGAAAAGAGCCTGGCTCTGTCCTCCTGACACTCACTCTTTACATATTTATGAGCTTTAATGAGGTCACCCCTCAGGCTCCTCTTCTCCAAGCTGCAGAGCCCCAGCTCCTTCAGCCTTTCCTCCCCAGGGAGATGTTCCATCCCTCCATCATCCCTGGGGCTGCGCTGGGCTCTCTCCAGCAGTTCCCTGTCCCTCTGGAGCTGAGGGGCCCAGAACTGGACACACAGTTCCTTTGACTGCATTATCTGACTACATGCAAGACGTCAAACTCTGGAAGCCACCACTGCTGCGTTTACCTGGCATTTATGGGGTCCTTGACGTGTGCACGCTAGATTTCAAGACCATTTTAATGTTAAAGTTTCAGAAATGCATTGAGGAGAAGAGAATACACTTGTAGAGGGGAAACCCTGAGAAGAGAGAACTACCTAAAAATCCTTTTTCTGAACTCTGTATAGCCAACCATTCAGGATACATGTGTTTGCTATGATGTAATAATTTAGATTTTCGTGCCACTTGTGAAATACTTTTTTTAATACATATATAGAGAGAGATTTATATATTCTAAAAGCTTCAGATATTAAATTACAAGGTCTGGTTGTGTTGTTCTGGATGCTGTTGAGGTTTAGCTGCTCTGATTCATTATGAATCATGAGAGTCAAACCTAATGCCTTCCTCTCAAGTTTGTTCAGTTGCCTTTTAGGCATCTCTTTGGCTCGAGCCTCATTGACTCTTTTTGTTGTGGTATTTGCACTGATGAATTTAAAAGGAAAAAAACCAAACAATGAAATACATGCAGTTGTGTGTAGGCCAGGTATAAGAATCTGAAGTGACTGTGCTGCAAAATGCTAATTTGCATGGTAGGTGAAGCCAAGCATAAACGAAATAATAAACAGATGTGAGTCACCAAATATAGAAGACTTTAGTTGTAGCTGCAGAGGGACACAAATGAGATGATAGGGTATTAGTAGAAAGATGCAATTTACAGGTCAGAATGTAATAGTAACCTTTCACTGTGAAAATTGAAAATTAACCTTGGGAGTATTGGATCATTTGCAGCTTATGTAGTACTTTTATTGAAGAGGGGAAAATCTCTAAAAAGACTTCCTGCGATTTTCAAGATTTTCAAGTGGTGCTTTTCAACGTGTGCTATTTTCTCTTCTGTGCCTACATCTCACTGCCTTTTGGGTTGGCGTTACCTACATAGAAGGCACGACTAGGGTTCCGTAGGGGTTTGTGCAACTTGTTTTTTCTTTTCCAATTACAAATGTTTGTAGAAGCTACGGTTCTTTACTTGCTTTGGGTGAAATTCTTGGTGAGCATTAGTCATCATGTCTGTTGGACTTACCTAGGGAGTTTAGTACTTGCATGACTGCTTGATTTTTTTATTTTTTAATCTTACTTGAGATGAATAGCACAGACAGGTTCCATAAAAATCACGTGAACTTCATTACAATTGTCTTTCTAGTCGTCTAAATATCTATTTTCCAGTAATATTTAGCAGCAGCATTTTAAAAAAGAGAAAAATAGCAAATGTCTAATGCATGCCTTTAAGATGCCCTATAGTGAGCAGTGATTTCTGTATAATGCAACATATCTGGGTTTGCAAAAAGGACTGTGAGAAGTGCGTTCGTGGGATGCAGCATTATCAACTTGGTTTTCATCTCATTTGATTTGGTAAGAATTCATATTGCTGTTGAAACAAAATAATAAAATAACGCAAGTGAATAAAGTAAGCTGAAAATAAGATCTTTTGCTCGTCTATTTACTATGTATTACATGCATGTAATTGTAGATCTAATAAATTATTTTATGTGGTGGTACTCCCAAAATCTTTCACTGACATAGCGGTGGTTTTGGTACAGAAATTGTGTTTTGATTTTGCATAGTTTCTTCTGGATGTCCTTTGAGTATTGTTGAACGTATACCTGATTTTTCTTTTAAAACCGTTATATCTGAACAATATATTCTGAATACCTCATTGGCAAGAATAATTTCAAGCAAGTTGGTTTTTTATTTTTAATCTTCATAAGAATTTTTTGCAAGCTTTCTGAAGGAAAGTATCCATTTGGTGTGTGCAGTCTGTTGCTATTCACTTTTTTTTTCCTCTAGATTCTTGGAAGAGTTTAGACTTGTACCCTAGCAACAGTTGTTTGGCTTTAGCCTAATTGATATAACAGCATAATAGACCTCTCACACTGAGACACGTCTCTTTTTTTCACTTTTTTTTTTTTTCTTCCCCCGTTTCTCTAGGTAGCCCTGGTGCAGTGGACTGCGAGTGTGGGTCTCACCCTGGTGAGCAGGGATCTGACCTCGGTGCAGCTGAAGACCCCCGGCGGCCACATCCTCACCTACTATATCCTGCAGATCTTCCCCTTCACTTCCGAGAGCAAGCGCATGGGGATCATAGTCAGGGTAATTCTGGGTGTGTTCTGGGTGTTCGTGGTTTTTCTTTCGCCAAAAAAGCTTTCGCTGAATGTCTCTTTTTTTAAAATAAAATTTAATAGAAGCTTGATGCTTCAGGGAGCGCATTTCATGAGATTTTTCAAATGGAAATTATACCCTTGACATGTGCAATACTAGGCAAGCAATTGTAGGAAAAAAATCAGGCTAACCTGATGTTGCCGAGAGCTTGATAAAGGCCAAACTCTTCTCCTGCGTGGCGGCAGTTAATTGCACTACTTCACACCTAGCCTCTGATACTGCAAGCTTTCAAGCCTTGTTTTTGAGTTTTCTGTTTGTTTCTTTCATACAAAATCTGTGTCATTGACTTTGGTTAGAAGTGATCCTCTTATATGAGAAAGTAGGGAGTATGGATGGAATCGGAGAGGTTGTTGGAATTAGGAATGTCCCTGCTCACTGCAGGGGGGTTGGACTTAGACGATCTTTAACGGTCCCTTCCAGCCCCAAACATTCTGTGATTCTTTGATCAGGTAATAAAGCCTACCCACCTCTTGGCAAGGTGCTTAGTCTTTTATAAATAATAATCCATTGACTACTTTAAAGGACAGTTAGGTTGTTCGTAGTTAACTGTTTTGACTGTATAAACAGATTTTCCCCCCCTCCCCATTTCTTTCTTAAAATTTTAGGATGAATCTTCAGGAGAAATTACATTTTACATGAAGGGTGCAGATGTTGCAATGTCCACAATTGTGCAGTACAATGATTGGTTAGAAGAAGAGGTAAGAAACAAAATGGAAATATATAAAAATTAAAATATTGTAAAATAATTTTAAAAAAAGATGGATATTATCGGAATAGATTTAAAGGAGAACCTGAACCAATGCAGTAATGGGGTTTTGAAGTCCCATTACTTATATCTTGAATGGATTTTAAGGGATTAAAACTATTTTCAGTTCTTGAATAACCCACAGGAAAAGCAAAGCTGGTAGTCGTAGCAGAACACCTTCCTACTTAAAAGAAGGAGATTTTTCATTGACTGGCCTTACACATAAAACCTCATTACTTCTGAGAAGTATTCTGCTATAAGCATGTTTATCCTGAAATGCCCTTGTTTTGTCAAATTCTGCAGTGAGGTATAATTATGAATCACAAAGTTTAGTAAGGGTTGTGGCCGAATTGAAATATTTTTTTGCCACACTTATTAAACTTCATATAAAATAGCTAATGGCTGAATTTCAAAACAGATTTTTCACTTTGTGGCTGTAGTAGGTACCAGCAATTATCTTATTTTGACCCTACATACAGACAATATGTTAATACAATGATTACACCATGTATGTTCATAATGGTATTGGCAATATGAATCAATATCTGCTGCAGGGCAGTTTGATTTATTCGGGGACATGAATAAATTAAACTCCCTCAAGACCTAGCAAAATGTCATAAAAATTACTTTTGGCGATAATGATGCACAATTAATTGTAAAATACTTGTTTAATTTATTTAGCTTTATGAGGTCAAATCAATAAGTGCTTTGCACTGGACAGCCTTGTTTTTCATTAAGACGTGCTATTCCGCAGCTATTTTTAATGCGTAGATATTTTTCTGGTAAGAAGTGCGTTCACTGGAAAAAGAAAATATAGCTCTGTTATGTGCCTCAAAACCAGTTTTAATTTATTGTAAAGCTTCAACCTAAAGGATGTTTCCTTTAAGCTAGCAGAGAAAAATCCAGTTGCCTTATGAATAACATACCACTTCGTTTTGGAGACCTGAAGTATAATGGCTTTTTAGTCCATCTGTGGCTTCTCCAGAATAATCTAAGAGTCTAAAGAAACACCAGAAGTTATTGCAGAGATGCCCCCTGTTACGATGTAGAATAAAACATGTACATACACTTGAATATTTGCATAACTGTTGTGTGGTTTCGTCCCTTTAGTGTGGTAACATGGCACGAGAAGGACTGCGTACGCTGGTTGTTGCCAAAAAGTCACTAACTGAAGAACAGTATCAGGATTTTGAGGTACGAAGGGGCAGGAGCAATCTTGCGCTTCACCGTATTTGAGTTACTTCAAGGGGCACATTCCTCTTTGTTTATTCTGTTAAGATGGCAAAAAGGAGATTCGTATTTAAAATATCCAGACCGATCTGTTGTTGTCATTGGTTAGCGATGGCTCTGCAGGCACACACAGGATGCTTTTGCTTCGTTCTGTGACTGGGCGGCGCTTTCCCAGAAGCTGGCACAATGTTCATTCTGTAGCTTCAACATAACCCAAAGAATCTACTTGTTCTCAAAGATAAGGGCAGTTCTGCTTAGATGCTGTGATGCCTAATTCTTAATAGTTCTTTCAGCAGGTGATATGTCAGAAAAATACATAGATAGCATTAGGCGTAAAGGAGAATTCACTCTTTTAATCTTGTTCTTTAAAGACAAACCTTTAGCCTGATGAATCTGCAATGTACCTGACTGGTAGGCTGAATGTGCACTTGATGTGCCGAAGCAAACTGAGTGGTTTTGTGTTTACGCAAACAGAGTCGCTATAACCAGGCGAAGTTAAGCATACACGATAGAAACCTGAAGGTTGCTGCTGTCGTAGAGAGTTTGGAGCGAGAAATGGAGTTGCTGTGTCTCACTGGAGTAGAAGATCAGTTGCAAGCAGATGTTAGACCGACTCTAGAGATGCTAAGAAATGCTGGAATAAAGGTACGAAACACATACTGCTGATATAACAGATGATCATTTATGAACTTTTTTTTACCAGTACATGAATTGTTTGTGTAGGGTCAGGTTCGTTCAAAGAAATAGGCCAAGCCCTAAGTACGTTCTGGGCACGAGCTGGCAGAAACAAGCAGGACTTTGTGGGGGAAGTTCCCTTGTCCACCGCAGGTTTCCCTGATGTTAAGCTTACACCCGCAGGAGAGCTGCTGATGGATGAATGTGTGTGACTCCCAGCCATTTATCCCCTGACTGGCTGCAGTAAGCTGGCTTAAGAACAGATGGATGCTCAACCTTACTCCTTAAGCTTTGATGCTTTAATCCATGTTCTACCTTTGCAGGATCTCTTTGGAGCGTTGGGACTGTAGCTCTTTAAGATCATCAAGTCCAACTGTAAGAGTAGCATTGCCAGGTCTGCCACTAACCCATGTCCCTGAGCACCACATCTACCTGGCTTTTAAACACCCCCAGGGATGGGGACTCCACCACCGCCCTGGGCAGCCTGTGCTCGGGCTTGACAACCCTTTTGGGGAAGAAGTTTCTCCTGATGTCCAACCTAAACCTCCTCTGAAGCAACTTGCTCATTGATTTTCGTTTAGAGTGCGCATGTCAGTGTATTTTCTGTGGTAATCTAATCCCCAAATGTACCAGAAAAAGGTTGAAGAGAGATGTTATTTAGATGTGGAAAACAGACCATGTCCAATGGAGTAAACTTTTACATTATTTTGCAGATATGGATGTTAACAGGAGATAAACTGGAGACAGCGACTTGCATTGCAAAAAGTTCTCACTTAGTGTCTAGGACTCAAGATATTCACATTTTCAGACCTGTAAGTAAAGTTCCAGCTCTTTTGTTGGTTCATCAGAGGACAACTGATCAAATGATGCTTTATGTGATTAGTAGTTGAAAACTACTTGTTGAAAACTGTCAGGTTATTGCACTGAGCAGCGCAGTAAGGGTCAAGAAATGCTCATAGCCAGGTTTGGGTGACCTCTGTTCAGTGTGTGTCACACTCTCCACGTACTCAGAGGACAGGGTAAGGTACCTCTGAGTAGTCGTGGAGAGGGGTCTGGGGGAGGTGCTGAGCCAGGACGAGGGGGTGGCCAGGAGTTCAGGCTGCCCAAATGTGGTTTTTGCTTGTTCTAGCATTTTCCTGAATAGAACTCTTTAGACTCGAGCAGAATTAATCCCAAATTAAGCTGTGATGCCAACAGCTGCCGTATTGACGTAGTTCAAATCAGCATGAGAAAATTAGGGTGATTTTTTTTTTTTTTTTATATCATGATATGTATTTGCATTTTATTAACAGACTGCTTAAGTTAATAATTAGAAAGGTAAACTGAACATCTTTTTTAATGCATTTTGGTGACATTTGCAGAGCATCAACTCTACTGAAGCCAAACAAAAATAGATTTTTCCAGACGTTGATTGATGCTGTGTGATCAGACATAATATGTCTGTGTTTGTTCTAAATGAACCACTTGCACCTACAGAAATAATTATATGAATATAATTTACATGTAAATGTTGTTTCTTCTGAAGCATCAGAATGGCAAATTAGGCCCTGCAGACTACTATTTGCAATTAAATTATTAATGCTTCTGATAAAACTTCAGATCAATTTTTGTTGACCTTTCCTTGTTGTAATGCCACAAATTAAGTCTTCCTGAACAAAATCTATTTAGTTGAGTCAGATTTTTATTTTCATTACCTTGACTGGTAATAAGAGATCAGCATAAAACTGTGTTAACTTAAGGGTACACGAAGTTTTAAATTAGTTAGAAAAATGGATTTATGCAGAATTATTTCTGTGGCCGTATTTGTTGCGAAGAAATAACTGGTGGATTAATGTAAGAAAATACTAAGCACTCTGACACCTATTTTACTTACAAATTAATGCATTTTAGTTATAAATTAGTAAATAAAAAAATTATTTACTACTGGGTCTTCCCAAAGCGATGCACTTTGGTTTTAACGCTCTCCCTTTTTGTTCTTCTGAGACTCAGCTCCTTCATTTTGGATTGAAATTAACTGATGCGTTGTTCTAGAAGTATTTACCATTTTTTATAAAATAAACAAACAAACCAAACCAACCAACCACTCACCCCCAAAAAAAAACCCAACCACTTTGTTGGGTGGAAAGTGAGGCAGAGCGGGCAATTACTGCTCAGCAGCGTGCGTCAGGTGCTGACGTGCACTTTGGGTAGGAGCAGGCTAAGCACGAAACTTCACGTTCAGACTTAACCTGTTTTAAAAATTATTGAATTAAAGCCCTGGCAGAGCCAAAACTAGAATTCTGTGCTTGGAACTTTGCCTTGCATTATAGCTATAAAATAATTTGATCTTTTAGGGGAGAGGAAAAAAACCAGCAAAAACACCACACCAAAACAAACTGCTTGCCAGTCTCCTCAAAATCTGTTTATAATTTAAATTTTTCATGTTCTCTGTCCTAACTCAAAACATCCTGTGGGTATGGGCTTGCACTGGGATAAAACACTTGAATCACCGAGGTTTTTCTGGGTATGAGTTCTCAAAACCTCATTTATTTAGGCAGGGAGTTTTTTGGGTTTTTGAAAGAATGTAAGTAAATCTTTTAAGCGAGGGTGTCTTATCGAAGGTTACCACTCGAGGAGAAGCTCACTTAGAACTCAACGCCTTCAGGAGGAAGCATGACTGTGCCTTGGTGATATCTGGGGACTCGCTTGAGGTAAGAACTTGGTTGCTGGCAAATTACATTTATCTCCGTGCTTATGTTCAAAAAGTAAAATATCTATGTCTTCACGGCCTTAAACTTTTTCCTAATATTTGCCCATACTTCAAGCTGCCCTTAGAAATACTTTTGTGCTAATTAGAGGATGTATGTTCTCAATGGGCAGATGTTATTGGTTCCCTGGTCTCCTGCGTGCTAACAGAATGGGATTTGTACGCAGCATGTTTTAGTATTGGCTCTCTAAATAAAGAATATCAGTTTAAAATAATAAAGCCACAGTCAGGGGAGTGTGGCTTTTTTTTTCTCCCAGGTGGCTGTTGTGCAAGCAAATCTCAATAGAAGAATCGTTTATACTGTGTTTTTGTGTTAGAGTTGTATTCAATTGTAAGTCAATGCAAACATTTATTTTTATTTTTTTTTCCCCCTTTAGGTTTGTCTGAAGTATTATGAGCATGAATTTGTAGAGTTGGCTTGTCAGTGTCCGGCTGTCGTGTGCTGCCGATGTTCTCCCACCCAAAAAGCTCATATTGTGAAACTGTTACAGCACCACACCGGGAAACGCACGTGTGCGATAGGTAACTGTTGGCACCATCTTCCTTCGCAGTAGCTAAGATCTATAATCGACTTTAGCAGTAGGTGGCACCATTGGGAAACGGCTGAAACAAAAGTAGAGAAACTTGACCCAGCAGCCCGCCAGGTGTGAGGTAGCTGTAGCAGAACATGCCGTTCTGTGAGGAAGGCGTGGATATCCTCTCTGTGCCACGGGGAAAAGTCTCGATAGCCAAAGTAATTAATCGTAACCCACAGATAAATTGTATAAATTTAAAGGTGTCTGTAGAGATTTCTAAAATGCTGTCAGGCCTAAAACCGCTGAAGAGCTGAATATTGCAGTGACTTTTTCCAGGTGATGGAGGAAATGATGTCAGCATGATCCAGGCAGCCGACTGTGGAATTGGAATTGAAGGCAAGGTAACGTTAACAGTTTTGTTATCAGTTGTGTGCACCACAGCAGCAGAGCCCGTGCCACCATCAAGTGTTATTCTTAAACAGTACCGAACTAATAATTTCTAATCAAAGTATGCTGTAATGTGATAAAAAATGCTTAGTCTTTAGTATTTTCTTTGCTTCTATGTCCTCTGCTTTATCTTTTTAAATATAAAAAGCAAGAAAAGCAAAGAATGCCATAGTTTCTGTGTAGCCTTTAGCTAAAAGACGCAGGATCTTAGAATACACACAAAATGCTGTCCTTCGTGTCTCCTTGCAGGGTTCATTTCTGAAGCGGGAGCAAACTTGACTTTTAAAATCATTTATCCTTTAAAAATTTGAAATTTGAAAGACAGCTCTTACACTGAGTTTGATACATGGGCTATTTTTCTTTTGCCCTAGGAGGGAAAGCAAGCTTCCCTAGCCGCTGACTTTTCCATCACACAGTTCAAACACATAGGGAGGCTGCTGATGGTACATGGTCGAAACAGTTACAAAAGATCAGCAGCGCTTGGTCAATTTGTCATGCACCGAGGCCTTATTATTTCAACTATGCAGGTATTTAAAACTTTGTTTCCTGAATAGTTAAAACCATTATGTCCGTCTTTGAAATGTCACAAAACCTTAATCAACCAGTATGGTTGTTTTTTCTTTATTGTAATGTCTTGTATGTAGAATTACATTAAATACATATAATTGTCTTTTTGCAGGCTGTATTTTCATCAGTCTTCTATTTTGCATCTGTTCCCTTGTACCAAGGATTCCTAATGGTAGGGTAAGTCAAAACCATCAGTGATATCTGGTAAAAAATACAGCAAACTAACTTGTTAAATGACATCAGGTAGTTGGTGTCTGCCGTGGATTTTGTACGTTTATCATTGGTGTGCTATGAAAACATGGAAGGAGGCTACAACAACTTCATCAATATTAACTATAAATCAACAGTAACTTAATTTGTAGTCAAATCAAAGTCTGATTACGCTGCGGAGGCAAGCAGCGGGCATCTCCAAAATGTTTGTAAATAGTTGTGCGACTGAACTCGGTAGATCGGTTTAAAATGCTGTTGTACAAAAGATTAAATTTATGTCCTGTCCTTTTGCCCAGGTATGCAACCATCTATACTATGTTTCCAGTCTTCTCTCTCGTATTGGATCAGGATGTGAAGCCAGAAATGGCATTGCTGTACCCAGAGCTTTATAAGGATCTCACAAAGGTATGAATGTGCTCAGATATGAACAGAGGCTGAAACCTTTGGTGTGCAAAACTGGGAATTCGTGCGATTGTTTTCTTCAGGTTTTCCATGCAAAACAGATGCACAATTTGTGTAAGGCAGGCTTTTGTACTACAAAAATAATCCTTGGTAGCAAATGTTCTGCTCTGTTTTATTAATTCACCAGTGGTTGCACTGAAATAATTCAAACATAATGGTATCTTGATAGAAAAGTTGCTTTCAGTCTGGCCCCAGGGTGTCTGATCTGATGTTATTTATGCTTATTTTTTCACAGCTCCTTTTTTCTTTTTAACTGGTAGATTAATGATGGATAGATTATTTTTTCACCCCTAATCTGTAGAAATAGCTATTGACCTCTCAAAAGCTGATTTTCTGTAAATAACAGATATCAACAGATAACTGAATTATCTGTAGGTGCTGCTTTCTGTGCGTGCACATACCTGCAAACAATGAAAATGTATAATTTCCTGACCTGCAAAAGCAAAGCAAATCTCAAAATTCTGCTTTGATAAGTTCTTTTGAGAAGTACTTCTGCTCCTTCTTCAAAGTGTCGCCTGGAAAAGTTACAACCCCAGGCAGAATCAGGTAGTCTTTTTAGGGACAGTAGATTCTTTGAAGAGGTGTCTAAAAATTTAAAAGCAGACTGCATTTGAAGAGGATCCAGACTTTTCAAAGTCTTTGTCTTTTTAGTTGTACGAAATTAGCCACTAACTATGTCAGTCTGGGAGAAATTTGTTTCATCTCATTGAAGATGCTGATTCCCTTTCTCCTCTTCAGAACCTTTACAGAGATACCAGCCTATGATAAATCTCAAAAAAGCATGGCCTTACACCTTCCATTAAAGGTCGTTGTAAGCTTGCCTGTGCAAACATGTTGGTGGACCTTGGAAGTATCTGATTTCCAAATACAGAAGCTACCCTCTGCTCAGAAGCTGCCCAGGGTGGGTGGGTGAAATGACAGTTCTTGGAGATGCTGAATCACGGGCTTCCCCAGCTTGTGTTACACCTCTGTGAATATTAAACATGTGTAACCCAAATAATTCTCTTCAGAAGGAAAAGAAAAAAGGGAATGTGGAGAAACTGGGGAGCAGAGTTCAGTGCCGGGCGGCTGACAGTCAGTGGGTGACTCTGGATGAGTGTAGCACAAAAAGTTACTGAAGTGCTGCATTTGACTTCCCTATTACAAGGGAATCTAATTGCGAGTGTTTATTACAGCCATTTATGATCATACAGCCTTAGTCATGACGCTGTGAAGCCTACGTATTTCTACGCATCGTTTCTCAAATTACGGGCTCCAGATGCAAATCTCTGCTGATGCTCTTCAGCTGGTGTTGTTCAAACATGTGCTGACATGGGCTACAATCATATTCCTGGGAACTGGTTTCTTTTCTGGGATATGCTAGTGATGGAAAAGCTTTTCAGATTTTTAAATGTCTAATAGTCAATCACTAAAGAAAAATATACAAACTGAGTAGGGTTTTTTAGTTGTGTTTAAGTGTCTTCTCCCTTGTTTCCCTTAGGGAAGATCTTTGTCATTTAAGACCTTCCTCATCTGGGTTTTAATCAGTATCTACCAAGGTAAGAGAGAGTCCTAATTGTACTGAACTGAGAAATTTTTGTCTGCTATTTGCAGTATTGTTTTTCAGCTGCAGATTGAATTCCCAAAGCTTAACGTTTCATCAGCAGTTATATATATTGCTTTCTGTTTATCTCATAAATTGATATTCCTATAGTGTGCCAGACCTATTCAAAACGCAGCATGGATTGGTATTTTTATCGGTGCATGTTGCCTAAAAAAGGAACATGTCTTTAATTAAATGATAATCCGGAAAAATTGGGATGAGTGTTTATCATATCGCATAGATTTACACGATAGTTTTCTTTCACGGAATGATAGAAGTTCTGCTGAAAAAACCTGAATTACATAATCAATTAAAAGCAATTACACTTTCAGCAATATCTCACTTATTTGTAACACTTGCCAAAATGAAGTTAATCAACAGCTCATCAGGTATAGTGCACCAAAAGGTGTTTCGTTTTCTAATAGTTTTACTGCTGGACTTTGGTGGCTTTATTTCACGTGCATAAAGTGCAGGAAATACCACTTCTGTCCTTTTAGATCGATCTTGTGACTATACATGTATATAAAAAAACCCCAAACACCTCGCCTGGTGTGGTGTTAGCTCTGCGTGTCTCTCCTAGGTGGGATTCTGATGTACGGAGCCCTGCTGCTTTTTGAATCCGAGTTCGTGCATGTCGTTGCCATTTCCTTCACTGCCCTCATCTTGACGGAGCTCTTGATGGTTGCCCTGACCATACGGACGTGGCACTGGTTGATGGTGGTGGCTGAATTCCTCAGTCTTGGCTGCTATGTGGCCTCTCTTGCATTTCTAAATGAATACTTTGGTGAGTAAATGGTGCAAGTGTTTTAGCAGAGAATTGTGCTTTGTATTTTGAATGTGCTTTTTCTCCTTTTTTTGTTAAGAATAGGTGATGTGATTTGCAGAATACAGCTTTCTCCATAAGAAATATGACTGAGTTGAAACTAGGCTTAATGTTGCGTTTAAATATTCTCTTTCTCTTTTCTCCTGGAGTTTGATGATCTTTATTCCTGTTAGCGCAACTTACCTAGACACTAAACTTTACTCAAGCTACACATGCTTTTCCCATCCTTGGTCTGATCTTGGCAGTCCAACCTGCACACCTTAAGTTGGCTTTGAGATTTGCACAATTGAAATTTTAAAATTTGAAATTTAAAAAAATCAGGCTGGTGCATTATCTTGTATGCCAAAGCAATTGGACCTCATTAGACCTAATCCTCAAGTTCAAAAGAGCCAAAGTGTTGCTGGAGAATGAGCCAGAAAGCTGTCAGGATAGATACTATATATGAATCATTGTTGCATGATAATATCAAGCTTGCTTGGCTTTAAATTGCAGTATGCCAAACTGTGTCTTAAGGTTCTGGTTGTTCATAGTTCACAAAAGGAAAGAACACGTTTCAAGTGCAAATCTCAACTGTCAGGGAACTGAGCATCAAAACAGAATTTTTTTTAATGTCAAATTATCCTGCAGGAAGAACAACTGTCTCAGTGTAATTTTACAAATGTAACTCCTACAGAAATACAAATGTAACTCCTACAGAAGTATATAAAACGATTCTGATTATAGCTCACAAGAAGAAGAATCTAGCTCTTCCTTTCTCTGTTTTCCAAAAACTGATGAGTAAGGAGTTGCCTTTCTTGCAAATGTGACTTCCCATAGCAGAATAGTTTCTTAGGAGTATTTTGGTTTCAGCTTTCACTCTTTCATGTCCCAAGTGTTCAACACTAGAGTGTAGCATATTTACATTATATAATGACTTTTTTAAATCAGTAAATGTTTCCCTGGCTGTCCCAAGTGTTCTGTTACTTCCCAGATTTCTCAGGAGTCAAATTTTAATGAAGAAACAACCCTGCTGGGCTCAGTACTCATACCCTCTCCCAGGTTTGCCTGGGACCTCTTCCTTTTCTCTGACACCAAGGCACAGACTCTGTAATAGACGTTATTGCAGAGTATTGAAAGAGATTATTCAATTTCTGCAACCAGGTTACAGATGAAAGGAGTGAACAAGAGCAGACGCAGGTGCTGCCTCTTTAGTTCAAACTTCCAGCTGTGTGAAAACTGCTGGGACTTGCTGTCTTGCAAACCTTGCTGTAGAGGGGAGAAAGAAATGGTGCCATAGGTGTGAAAGGGCACTTGGGTTAGAAAGACAAAAAATCTTTGCTGCTGCTCTACAGCTCTGACTTGGGGACGTGATTTGGGTTTTTTTCAGTTTCTAAGTTAATTGAGCATCTCTCTGATATGTCCTGTGGGTTTTGGTGTGTCTGAGCAGGCTAAGACTAAAACTCTATCACGAGTTTCTGTGTTGAGAAGTAACTTACAAAATATTTTCAATGGGTAAAGTTGGAGCAGTAAAGCACTTCATTACCACATTTTCCGAAGTGAATTTTCATTTGTATTAAAACGCTTCTGATCAAGCTGTTTATAAATTCTACCTTGAAGTCAAATGTCAGCAAGCTGCCTGCCTGCTCACAGCCTTAAAATATTGACCGAATATAAAAATGTCTATATTATTTTTCAATATATGTCAGTTTGATTACTATTCAAAATGCTATGATCATTATGTGAAAGGCAATAATATTCCAGTTATTGCTGCTAACATCTTTATGTGTAGCTAACTACTTGTTCGGGAGGGTTTTACACATAACTTTCGTTATTTTCTCTAAATCTTACTCTTCCATTTTCATTCTCTCTTTGTGAAACAGGTATAGGCAGAGTGTCTTTTGGAGCTTTCTTAGGTAGGTCAAGTTTAACTTTTCTTGAGGATTTTTTTAAGTCTTTAAAAATTCATTAAAAAGTAGTAAATTATGCAATATACACATTTGTAAATAATGATAAAAGGCAACATAAAACCAAACCAAACTAACAGTTCTTCAGATTACCTGGCTCCTGGGATCTTTCCATGATAGTTATGACCTGGCCATCACAAATATGGTCCAAAAAATTTCAGCAGCGAATGTAGTGTGTCACTCTTCTTGTTAAAGTCTGCAACAAAAAACAGGTTTTCTGTGTGGCTTGTGGCAATACAATTTCATTGTTCTCCCGTTAAATTTTGGGACTCTGATTTAATCTCTGAGGTTTCAAGAATCATGAAGTCCGGTTGCCGTGACTGTTTCGGAGAAAAATAATCTGAATAAGGCATAAAGGATCCAAAGTGGTAGCAGGATTTCTGGTTGAGAACTTATATTACAGTGGGTGAAAATAGTTCCTGAAGCAGAACAATAAACTACCTCAACTTTTTGTTATGAGAAGGTCTTGCTTTTAAACAGAGATTGTTTCCCCTAAGTGTAAGGACTGTGAAGGAACTCTGGAGTTTCTGCAGTAGGAAAATAATTGGCAAAACCCAAGATACTGAGGTTAAGGTTTTGTTATTTTGTTGTGCTTTTTTTTCTTTTTGAATTTGGCATGGTCTTGAACAATAACATAAGCCAACAGTTAAGAGAGCTTTATTGACTTTGCACTCTGGAAGTTCCAGTTTCTGTGTCGCCAGGTCCCGGTCCTTATTTTCCCTTTCTGGTTCCGCAGATGTTGCCTTTATCACAACTGTGACCTTCCTGTGGAAAGTGTCAGCAATCACTGTCGTAAGCTGTCTTCCACTTTACATTCTCAAGTACTTGAAGCGCAAATTCTCTCCTCCGAGTTACTCCAAGCTTACCTCGTAAAAGTAACCCCGTTCCTGCGGTTCTTTCACTCGCACCAGTCTGCACATTGCACATTCACTGTGCTTTAATGTCTATGGATTCATGTTGGACTGAAGAAACTCAAATCCAAAATCAAAAGTGATAGCGTGAACAGAGCACAAAGGAGGAGGAACCATCTGACAGGTACAATAACACAGAAGTACACTAACAAGACTATCAGAGAGAAACTAAATTTTCTTCATGTCGAGATTATTATTTTTTTTTTTTACTTTTGGTTGCTATGATAATAAAATAAAACTGAATGACCTTTGATTTGACAGTGCTTCTGAATGGTTTCATTGCTGCTGTAAGAGAATTTTTGCTACTGTAAAGGATTTTTTTTCCTACTGTACTAATCTGCAAGTTGAAACTTTTGTTATTTATTACATGACTTCCATTCTTTAATTATGACAGAACTTCTGAATTCAAGTCCTTGCCTTTAACATTTCTATAGGGAAAAGCTCATTCATCCATACTTACTGTAACAAATCTAATACCTGTAAATGCCCACGTCTGTACTAGCAGCTAACTGTTGTTCCTCGTCGGACATTGAGTAAGATGCACTATTTGAATTCTGTACGGATGTCTGCGTAGCACAGTGTTGTTGTAGGAGCTGTTGTCCTGTACTCTCCATTTCTGGCACCAGACCTGTGACACCGACAGCAGTTCTTCAGATGCACATCACCGCCAGCTTGCACAAAAGCTGTTTAAAAAGGAAATGATAAATCCTGTACGTAATTCCACCACACCTTTTGAGCTGTACAGAGATCGAAGACATGGCTGCTCAGTAAACATGTTTTAAAATTCTTATTCATTTTGTATTTGTAAAGCTGCAGATAGTGTCAAAGTACATTTCTATTTATGAGAAGCCCAGTAAACCTTGTATTAGCTAATGCGTTTAAATTGCCTTGTAATCTCTTTACTTAGGTTACTCAGGTAAAAGAAAATAAGATGAACACATGAACACTCTGGTAGGGGGAACCTATCATCTTCCAAGCTGTAAATGTTATGTTTTTATACCTTAGTTTGGGTGCAAAGTTGTTTTTTTAGAAAAAAACAAAACACAACATTTTTGTTTGTTGTAAACTGTCAGAGTTGAGTATCCCGGCTGAGCTGCGACACTTCACAGCAGTTGAAGATTTGTTCCAGAAGCTCCTGTGCTCTCACTCAACCTGAGGGGTCCAAATCGTGCACACTGCGCTGGAAAGTAGGCTCTATGCTTTTTAGTTTTCCATTACAATACAAATTTGCTTTCTCAAGCAGTACGTATAACGAGTTTGGCATAGTTTATTAAGGAAATGTCATAATCATCCATGCTTTAGTAAATATTGATATACATGTTTTTAAAAAATGCTTAATATGGGTGTCATTTCTACGTTTGTATGCCTGTACAACATAACTCCTCGTTTAGTCTCATAGCTTTGCCCTATGTCATTATTGCATTGGATGAGTAATATTTAAGTGATAAATATAACTACTTTCTGGGAGAGCAGAGGAAACTGCTGCTGAGCTATTTGGATTCCACTCCGCTCCATTAATTTTTGTTTTAAAAGTTTTTCTTACTAGCTATTTATCTGCTTTTTTTTTTTAAAATTATTATTTCCATTTCTCATTATAAAAGCAATAAAACCTAATTTCTACCAAACAGTATTAATGGTATATGTATTAAATAAACTACTACTGTAGTGTTTCTTTTACTTACCCAACACTGCAGAGGAGTTTGCTCTGTCTCTCTGTGACTCACTTCTGCAGGACCCCACAAGGTGTCAGTGTTCCTGCAGGTGAGCAGGAGCCGCTTCATCGCACGTGGGTTTGCCAAGGTTAATATTTTCACTTTGGTGCTGTGATATTTTTGTTGCCGGTTTGCTTTAATTTCCTTTTTTTCCCCCCAATAAGTGTGGGTTACTTGGAGTCACTTAAGAGAAGCCGCCAGTGAGTGGTTGTTCTGAAATGCTGCTGATGTTTTTGTCCAGCCTTTCTGTCTTGTGCATCGTGAGATCTGGTAGGTGAGCAAGAGCTTTGAGTTGGTTGTCCTTCATCCACACATCACATCTTTCCTGTTAGGCAGAAAAGGAAGGGAAAAAAATAAAAATGAGAAATTAAACTAGCAGTATGATAGCATTACGGTAATGCAGTCATATCCACGCGTACAGGATTTATGGTGTAGGTATGTTAATCCTCAGCATTGCAGCAAACGCACAGATCCTCCACACAAATCTCAGCCTTTCAGAGGCAGGGGCGGGTCTCTGCCCTGCCCGGCTGTGCCTGCTTTCTTAGAGTGTTTTCAATATGCAGCAGCACTCTCCTTCCAGCTCACACTTTATTTTGAAGCCTGCAGAGGCCACGTTATCTAACATAATCAAAGATTTAGGCCTTGGATTTGCAAGTTACACCCAGAAGGACCTTACTTTTATTTTGGTATTAAATAAACGTTTACTTCTGTGAACTGCTCTGTCAGATGTGTATTTCTGAAATGGTAATCGTGTCTCCTCTTGAAAACATATTTGGAAAACAATTTCAGAATGGGGCTGGGATGGAGGAGCAAGGTACGAACAGGAAATACGTCTTTGGACCAAAGTAGCACATGGAAGCACACCGCCCTGTCTGGACCGTGTTTATTAAGCATACGACATAAACATCTGCTGCATTTGCTTGTGTAGCTCGATGGAAGAACGTGGGGAAAAGAAGAGATCCTGCAGAGAGAGGAGTACTGGTGATTATTCCGTTGGTTTCTTCTGATGCTGTTCTGAACTTATGTATTCGTGTAACTGCTGGAAAACATTTTACTACACAAGATAAAATTAAATCCTTGCGTACTTAACATTAAATCTGTCACGTTCTTCCGTGGATGCGAGTGTTTACAACAGTGTGTTTTATGTTCAAGCTGAGCTTGCTGACATCAGAATTCAGCTCTGTGGTATCTCCGCTTTTCCTCCTACAGTTTCGGAGTGGCTGTCTGAAAAAATGCTGGGCCTCACCTCGGACCTGTGTGCTGCCTTGATGAGCAGCTCTGCGTATCATAAACGCCCTCCTCCCTTGTTTCCACAAGAGAATGGGAGCCTAAACGTGTTTCAGCCTGCTTTTCAAACACTACAAGAGGGAGCTTTGCCTTTGGGAACCTTTTCAGATGCCAGTTCTACAGATATTTAGGCAAGAATCCTAATATGCACGTTACGAAAGGACTGGGCCATGGGTCTCTTGCAACACTTCACGTAATAACCTTTCTGTAGCCGGGCTGGTGGTGTTATAACTCAGTTGAAACTTGAAGGCAATCAAAAAAGCTCTTCGGTACGTTAACCCCCCGTAGGGAGAGAAATCAGCGCGAGTGAGCAAAGACAACATGGATCCAACATTGGGTGTAAACAAACAGGAGGCACAATATCTCTAATGCCGCGGTAAAAAGCGGAGGAATTCCTTTTGTAAACAAAACGCTCTTAAAGCAAGACGCTTCCCGAGAAGCACAAACCACCCGACAGATGCCCTCAGCGGGGTTCGCAGCTGCTCAAGTGAGTGGGAAATGCTCAGCCCGTTGCTGACAAAATCCAATTCAAATAGGGAATTGGGCTGAAAAAGACCTATTTGCTACTTCATCGACCGAAAAAGTAGTTTTGATTAAAATGTTTTACGGCAGAGGTGGTGAAAACTGGGTGCCTTGAATAGAGTAACATGAACGTGCTCTGCAGTTGAGGTGACAAATTGGATTTTATTCCCCCATTTCTGACCAGGTTCTAGCAAAACTGCAACCAAGATTTGTCCTTATTGTTGTCTCCTCCTGAAATTGTAATGGTAAACCTCTAAATTGCTTAGAAGAAAAAGCGGCTTTGAGGAATGCTTAACCTTTTTGCATTATGGAGCTGTAAGAAAGATCATCACCTGCTCTGAGGAGATGCTGTTTTCCATAACTGTGATGCATGACAAGTATTTATGGCCCTGCCGTTACTCTTCTAGCAGTAGGCTGTGTTTATTTCCTCTTCCCATGACAAAAGTGGTAAAAGAATCAAAAGAGCTTTGTTTATGGTGTTCGTGTAGCTCTAACCAAGCATTACACAGAATAGAACATCGTAATTCTTATTTCTAAACCACTTCCCAGGGTTTATAATGTACACATCTTTTGTTGGTTTTTTTTTTGCTGTGGGCCCGCTGTGTGTTGCTCTGTGTTCCAAGTGACTTTGCAATGTTGTGTGAAGGCAAATTCCAGGTAACTGCTTCAGAATTCTGTCGGGAATGAACTCTTTGGCCATTGGGGCTGAAAGACTGGGGGAGGTTAATGGCTGAGCAGCCCTGCGAGGGGTAGGTGGTACGTGTGTGCGTTGGGTGTTTATTGCAATCACTGTGGCCTGTCTGAAGGAGGGGTCTGGGGGTTCTCGGTCAAGATGCTCTCTAGGGAAAAACCTCACTGTTGTGTGTGCTCTGCAGAGGAAGATGAGCTGTTGTCTCCTGGCGTGTGATTGCTGCCTTCTGCCCTTGAGTCCCAAATCCATCATTTGCATTCTCCCTTTATTGGAACACCAGCGCTTCTGAACATAAGTCTGTTGCTTCTCTCGATGCCGGCTGAACGGAGTCTATCCTCTGTGGGAGGTGATTTTTCCATCCAGGTGTCATGAGGGCAGTAGGTGACATGGATGTGGTCTAATATGTGTTTATCCCTATCCAAATGTAACTAAAGCCATAGCAGTTTTAAAAAAAAAAAAAAACCAAAACAAACACCACAATCAGCAAAACCCAACCAACCAGACAAGTACGTACGATTCTGTCAAAGGTGATGAAGGGAAAACTGGATTTAATGGCTTTGAGGCTCTCACCACGTGGCTGTAGTTGCTGTGCGTTGCTTACAGGTGCCTTTCAATTTTTGGCATGAACTTCACGTGAGAAAATAGTAAAATATTTCAAGCTATTTTTTTCAAAAAAAATCCTAGCTGGAGGCCTTCAGTTTGTCTCCCTACCTGTGTGTGACTGGTTACAATTATGCTGGGTCCTTTTATGTTATTTTTGGTATTAGAAAAAATTGAGAGTTGTATGAGGACATTTGTGCATTAGTTAGGAATCGGATGTTACGGTGAAGGATGCCGAAACTTAATGAGTAAATGTCTTGAGGTGTCCTTGGCCAGAGAGGTTCTCCGGTTGCTGAAGCGGTCGCAAAACCTGCGTGGTTTGTAGCGCTGGGGGAGAAGTCATCTCTCTCTCTATAGCCCGAAGCAGATTTCTTCCAGGGGAGAGGGGGAGGAAAGCCAAGGTGCTGGTCCCGTAACGGCGCTGGTAGCTCGCCATCTGTCCAAAAGCAATTACCTGGGGATGGTGGGAAAGCGAGGAGATAGCTCAGCTGCGTGGAAGAGCTGGCCCCAGGCGCTGATGCAGTGCTCTGCGGCGTGAGGAGTCTCTCTTCTTGACATTCAGGTAACTCACTATGCCAGCTCAGACGAAACCGGCACAGCG